CCAGACCAATCAGATTCAGATTTGGCTGTGTGAGGGCGGGCTCAATATAGGAAAGATGGCGCCTGCTTGTTGGCTGCATGGGAGTAGGACAACCTCACAGGAAAATGGTGACTGTCCCCCAGCCTTCAACCCGAAGCAACACAAGTCTGCCCCCCTATATGTCTCCTACACCTCCCGAGTTACCGTCCCTTCATTGGAGCCCAGGGTGAGTGCCTGGGAACGAGAGAGTCTGTGCATGGTCTTTGTAAGAGGATGTCTGCTTCCTGCCACCTTCTGTCCTGCTGGGATGGTCGGAATCCCCATTGTTTCGGAATCCCCATTGTTTTTCGCAGCCAGATGTCAGCTGTTGTTGGGGCTCCTCTTTTCAGCACCAGTACTCTGGGCTGTGGAGGCCGGTGTGGGGCCGGGTCACTTGCTCCTCTGGGGGGAACCTCTGTGGCCGAGATAGCCCTTTCAGTTCTCAGCCGCCACACGGAGGTTTGGGGTTAGCGTTCCCACCCCTCCTACCAGTCTCGACATGGCTTCTTTATATCCTTAGTTATAAAACTTTTGTTCATGCAGACTTCAGATGGTTCTCCAGATTGATTGTTTTATAATTTAGTTGTAATTTTAATGTGTTCATGGCAGGAAGCAGGCACGGTGTTTATGTTCTCCGCTATCTTGGATCTTTGTAGCTTTGTTTTAATGCTGTTTTCATCTTGCTGTTCCGCTTTCTTGGAGGCTGAGGCTACCAAAGGCAGAAGCTTGGTTTCCCCCATCTGATTGAGGTTCCCTGAAGGCAGAGGCATGGTTTCTGCCATCAGACTTGGGGTTCTGATAGGGAAGGGGCCATGCCAGAATACTTCATAAAGGGCTTTGGCCAATTCCCAGTGTTGGCCAGAGGGTTTGCGTATTCTGTTCCTGATGGCATTTATTAGAGCTTGAGCTGCGTCAACCTCCTCGGTCTCAGAGGAGACCCCGACCAGAACTGCACCCATGCCCCTCGGCTCTGCCCTTTCCTTTAGACCAGGCCAGCTCTTGGCCAGAGAAGATCAGCCCGGGAGACTCAGGGCTCCCAAAAGGGCCGGGGGGTAAAGGCAACTTTGACAGAAGGCTGCAGAGGCAGCAATTTAATGTTTTCCAATGCTAGGAACAAATCTGTGTATTGACTGGAGGCCAGAAGAATGAGGCCCCTCAAAAAGAGCAAAGGCTCTTCTCAGAATCTTTAAATGCGTCAATACGGCTCTGTGAGGGCGGCTGCCTGGGTGGCCTGGGAAGCAGTGATGGACTTCGCCAGAGCCCCAGGGACTCCGCTCAGCTCGCCATGGACTTGGTGGTGTGGGGCAGGCAGCACCCTAGGCCCTTGCCTCTTTGAAGAGAGAAGTCTCATACCCACCGACAGCAGGGAGTGGACTAAAAGGGGCCAGAGGTTGGTTGACGTTCCAGGGACAAGCTGGGATTCCTTGGGAAAGGCAGGCTGAGAACATTATTAGCAGAAAGGCCCTCAGAGACGGTTCCATGCTGCTCTTGCCAGCTGGGTGACTTTGGATAAGTCCCTAAACCTCTCTGCGCCTGTTTCCTTAACTGTAATATGGGAATAACACTAGTGCTTACTTTAAAGAGTGGATGTGAAGGATAATATGATAGCTACTATTATTGTACACCTTTCTTATTTTACAGATGAGGAGATGAACCTGTCCAAATTTCCTCAGCAAGTGAGTGCCAAGTCAAATGTTGAACACCGGTCTCCTGATCTGAAGTCCACAGGAGTAAGAGTTGGGACACCGTTGAGAGGCAGCCTGATGTAGTAAGAGAGCACAGCCATTGGGCCGAGAGTGCAAGTTCTGCCTTTGTGACTTTGGGAAAGTAACTTGACATCTCTGAAATCCAGTTTCCTTAAGTTGGAAACGGGGATCCTGAGAGCAAAGCTGCAGGGTTACAAGAATGAAAAGGACATAGACCAAAAGCCCCTGGCAGTGCTGGACACGTGGGTGAGGAGTTAGGCTGGAGCTGAGGGCAAGGGCGGCAAAGGAAGGTAGCTACACAAGCAGAATTCCCCCTGTGGCCATGGGCAGTGAGTGAAGTTCCAAGATGTAGACGAAGAACTAATGTGAAAGGCTCCTTCCTGCCTCAAGGATCTTGTAAATGCTGGTTCTGCCCAGAACACTTTTTTTTTTATCCTCTTCACTTAGTTAACTTTTACTCTTCTTTCAGATCTTAGCTCAAGCACCACCTCCTCCAGGAAGCCCTCCCTGACTCTCCCACCCAGGTCAAATCTCCTTATACTGGGCTCATCCAGTTTTCTACTTCCTCATAGCAAACCAGTTTTATACTTTAATGGCATTGTTGAGTCATCATTTTATATTAATTTGTGTGATGCTTGGATTTGTGTCTGCCACTGGGCTGTAAGTTGGGTGAGGATGGGCCAGTGTCTGCCTCCCTTGGAAGGAGGTGCTCCGTCTGCCCTTGTCCACTGACCCAGCAAGGGAGGGAGTCAGCTCTTGAATGAGCAGGGCTGCCCAAAGTGGGAGTGGCGAGGCAATTTTATGTGGCACATGAATACAGTTTTTGAAATTGTGCATTTAGTATTTATTTTCAAGTGTATTAGGGGGAAAAAAATGCAGCTAGCACATCAGACTTGGGATTTTACAGAACGTATTGCCTACGATGAACCTCAGTAAAACAGTGAGTTGATGTAAAGAACAACATATGGAGTAAATAATAATAGCTCAGGTGACATGCAGATGTAGCAAAAACTGAAGGTGGTGTGGACCGGCCTGAAGTCTGGGTTTAAAAGCCCAGCCCATGTCTGAACCTGCTGAAGTGCCCAGCTGCAGGGCCGTGAAAAGGCACAAGGTGGCGCCAGGGCTCCACCTGTCACAGGTGTGGGTTGAATTGTGCCTTCGCTGGCGCTGGATGCCTGTGTACCTTGGGATGTCCCTCTAGGTATCCTGTGGTGAGATCCTGAGGGTTGGGGTCACCCCAACCACCTCTTCTCCAGCCACTGCAGGCATCCCCCCCCCCTTCGCAGGCACCTGGACAGAGAGTCCCATGCTTGGCAGTGAGTGGAGGTCTTTGGGGGAAGAGCAACCTAGACCTGGTAGGAAGGACGCCTGGTCGTGTTGTGGGTTCCAGTTGGAAGATGTGAGTTCGAAGCCTGGCTCTGCTACTTATAAGCTGTGTGACCTTGGGCGAGCTACTTAACCTTTCTGTGCCTTGGTTTCCTCACCTATAAGGGAAAACAATATACCTCTCATAAAATTGTTAGGGGGATTAAATGAATGAACAGGAGCTCTGAGCTGTGCCCAGGGTAGGGAAAGCACTCAGTATGTCAGGCTGCAGCAGCACTTGTTGAATGAATGGGAGGAGAGGCGATGCCAGAGGGAAAGCAGGTAGCGCAGTGCCATCTGGGTTCTGGTCCCAACTGCAGAGTGTCCATGTGACAAGTGTGCCAGAGTCATGCCAGGGCAGGATGACATCTGGGTGGCATGCATTGGCATGCACATGTCGGTGCCATGTGATGCCATTTATCCATCCATGCGCCAAGGGCTGGGGACCACACGTGGCTCATAGGGCAGGAGTCAGGGGTACCGACATGCGGTCCTTGTGTGAGTCCCTTTAGGTTGTCCGTCTGTCTGATGTGGGCTGTGATTTTGACCTTCTGGGGATGCTGTGATGGTCACAGGTAGTGCCAGGCATCTAATGGGCTCTGGCAGATATAAATTTCCTTCCCTCTTCCTGTCCTGTACCTCCACCAGGGGGCTCCCTTGGAGCGTGAGGAAGGGGAGACAGAGCACAAACAAGGCAGAGATGGCAAGTGGGGACGTGGTCTGTGTTGACGCTCAGAGCAGGAGCGAGAGGGGCAATGGGAAGGGGCATGGCCAGTGATGCCCCGGCTGAGGGACACCTCAGCAGCCTGTTGCCTCTTCTCTCAGGAAAGCCCATCCATTCTCAGCTAATGGAGGCAGGGATGTGTGGCCATGACCATGGCATTTTTATGAGTTTATAAACTGCTGAGGACATGGCCGCTCTGAGCTCCGGGCCATTAATGGGCCATCAATTCATGCTCCAGCTCACTTTATGGGGTGCTGGGCAGGCAGGTGTCGGCCCCCTTAGCCACCCTCTGAGTGAGGCCACAAGCTCTTCTCTGGTGGCTTCTGAACACCAGCAGCACCACTCACTGCAGCATTGCACTGGTCTGCCATCTCCCTGAGAGAGCGGGGAGAGAGAGAGAGAGAGACCTGAGTTCTCAGCCTCAGTTGACTCAACTCTAAAATGGGAATAATCACGTCCACCTCTCAGAGGGGCTGTGAAGTTGAAATAAAGCACTATCTAATCTGTCAGGAGTCCTAGCTGGTGCTCGACCTTCCAAATATATCCAGGCTCTGATTGCTTCTCCCGTCTCCACTGGGACCACCCTGGCCTCAGCTACCATCATCTTGTGCCTGCCTTGCTGCACAGCCCCCTCACTGGTTTCCCTGTTTCTATCCTACAAGTCTGCTCTTGTGCAGCAGCCAGAGGGAGCTTTCTAAAACGCGAGTCAGATCCTGGTACAGCTCTGCTCAACACTCTGGAGTGGCCCCAGTGTAGAGCCAAAGTTCTTACAGGGCCCTGTCTCCTGCTACTGCCTCCCTGTTCCAGCCGCTCTGGCCTTCTTGCTGTTCTGGAACATGGCAGCTCCTTCCTGCCTCAGGGCCTTTGCACAGGCCGCACCTTCTCCATATATCTGCTTGGCTCATCCCCTCACCTCCTTCAAGTCTTTGGTAAATGTCACCTTTTAGTGAGGCCCATCCTGACCACTTTCTGAAAAATAAAATTCTCCTAACAATACCAATTCCATTTCTCCATTTGGTTTTTCTTTCTCTACAGCACTTATTACCTACAATATAATTTACTTATTTATTATTATTATTTATTATTATTATTATTATGTTCGTTTTCTTCTTTCCCTGCTAGAAAATCAGCTCCCCAAGGGCAGGGTTCTTTGTTTTTGTCATTGTTTTCTCCCAAGTGGTCAGAAAAGTGCCTGGCATATAGTAGGTGCTCAAGAAACACACATATGGAAAGTTCATAGAGCTGTGCCTGGGACATAGTAGGCTGTTGAGAGGTGGTAGTATTGTCATTCGGAATCCTGAGAGATGGAATAATTTTGAGTGTAGCTGTGGAGCCCAACACTAAGATGTCGTGTGACAGGCTCCTATGTATTTTAAATGGCCTGGGCAGGTGGCCATGGGGCAAAGGCATCACTGTTGAACAAAAGCTATTTCCCAGTGATCCCTGATTGACAGGCCACGCCTTCTCTTCAGCCTGGAAGCAGCTCAGACCTGGGACCGGAGGGGAAAGCAAGGTCCAGGGATTTGGGGAGGCTCTTTCATGGCTGAAGGCACCTTACCCATCCTATTAGCCATGGAGATGGAGTACAGGTCACCCAAGTCCACAGGGTCCGGAGGCCAGACCCCCTGTTCAGTCCTCACCAGACCCTGCCCAGGGGTGTGTGCAGACAAGACCTGGAAGGTGACTTTGAAGGGGCTGCACACACTTAGGGGTATGTCTGTTCCACGGGGCACAGACAAACTAAATGACTTGCCCATAGCCGCATGCCTGGGAATTAAAGGAGTCTGCTTCGGTCTAGGCCTGTCTGACTCCCAACTCATTCTCATCTAGTTGTTTGTATAGTGGCCAGAAACCAGCACAGTACATGTCCCCTGTGGAGGTTCGGGAAACATGCGTGAAGAACCAATAATTGGAGACTCTGGGCTGGTCAAATGTGGCTTTGTCTTTGTCCAGGGCCCATCTGAGAGACAGGTGGGTCCAAAGGGCCGGAGGCACCTTCCTGAGCCTCGTGGGCTCTGGTGAGCTCAGGTGTGGGAAAGGAAGCCCAGAAGCTGAAAACCTGGCTTCTGTCCCCAGGTGTTCAGGGAGCCTTGCCCAGAGGTGAGGTGTGTGTTGGGTGGAGACTCACATGTCTGTCCTGGCCCCTGTGGAGGGGGCTAGAGAGAGTGAGGATAGCTTTATGCACCTCACGCTCTTGGCTGAGGGTCCAGCCCACTTCGGAAGGCATGGTGTTCCCAGGCTGAGAGAGGCCCAGCCAGTGTCCTGCGGACACCCAGCCTAATGTTGATGATGATGGTGGTGATAAGGATGATGGAGATGATGATGGTACTGATGAGGTGATGGTGCAGGTGGTGATGGTGCAGGTGATGCTAATGCTAGGGATCCCGGTGGTGATGATGATAGCTGTCTTTGATTCTATGTTTGCTGTATGGATTTGAATTCTGGCCCTTGTTATCAGCTACAGACTTTGGGCAAGTTACTTATTCTCTATACCTTAGTTCCCTCACTGTACGTTGGGAGTATTTATTTGGGAAACTTGCTTCCCCATCTGTAAAATTGAGTCCCTCGGATGGCTGCCGTGAGGTTTAATAAGATGATGTGTGCAAAGCACTGAGCACGCTCCCTGGCTCTGGGGAAGTGCTCAATACACATTAGTTATTAGTGAGACCTGGGTCCTCAGTGCTTTTCATACGCCATCTCCTTTAATCCCCACACCACTCTGGGCATTGTTACCTCGTGCATAAACTGAGGTTTAGAGAGGCCAAGTGGCAAGCCCAAAGTCACACAGCTGCTAAGGGGAGAAGCTGTTTTATCTATTATCTTGTTATCTGCATAGCAAGACAACCAAAATTTCATGGCTTAAAATAACCACCATCACTTGTTATGTCTCATGGTTGTGGGTCGGCTGGGCTCAGTGCGGTGGTTTTGCTCCACACAGTGTTGGCCGGGGCTGTGGTTGTGTGGAAGCTACACTGGGGCTGGAGTGTCCGAGGTGGCTGGCACGTGGCAGCAGTCGGCGCTGGGTTTTGGCGGAGGGCTCAGCGGGGGCTGTCGCTGGAACGTGGCCTTGGTTCTCTTCCACATGGTCTCTTTGCCTGGGGACACGGAGGCTGGGTTCCCAGGACGGTTCTAAGAAGCAAAGGCAAAAGCCGCAGATCTCTTATGACCCAGCCTTGGGACTCACTTGGTGTTATTTCTGCTGCGTTCTATTGGTTAAAACAAGTCCGGGGATGGCCCAAGTCAAAGGGAGAGAAATAGATTTCTCCTCTGGGTGACAGGAGTGCCAAGGATTTGCTGCCATTTACAGTCCACCCCAGCTGGGACTGAAGCTCTATGTTCTCCTGAACTCCACTCTGACTGGCTTCCGTTCTTGCGCCGGGATCTCTTTCCAGCATCTCTTTCTGTGCGTGTGTGTGTGTGTGTGTGTGGGGGGGGGGTAGAAGGGGTGAGGCCAAGCCTCTCCCTCTGTGGTCCTCACTTCTCTATCACCATCTTTCCCCTCCCTGGTCCCTCCTTCCTCCATATTCTGATTGTTCCCATGGGCCCACTCTCTGGACCAGCCAGTAGCCAAGTCAGGGACCTGGACCAGGAGGCTGAAGCCGGCGACCACTAGGGGGCAGCAGAGCCAAAGGCTTGGGCGAAGCTGGGTCCCCAGGTGCTGAGCACCTGTTGGATGGGGCCGGGCAGGCAGGACAGAGGCTGGCCACAGTGGGACCCATTTCAGAGCTGGCTGCTGACCCCCTATAATGGGGTGTCCCTGAGGTTGGCTCAGGAGACTGCAGTACCAGTCCTTTCCCTCTGTGTGACCTTGGGCGAGTCACCCCTCCCCAGGCCTCCTGGAGCTCAGTTTCCCCATTCGGACTGGGAGGTGGTGGATTGATGACTTTCTAAACTGTGCTAGTCTCAGGCTGCTGAGGGAAGGTGAGCTTCCCACGCTTCTAGGGCCCTGCTCCTGCCTCCCTCTGTTATTATATGGGATTTTCCAACCAGGAGCTCTTGAACGTGCTCCCTCAGGCCCCCAGCGGTCCTGCTCGTGTAGGATTGAACCCTCCCCAGCCAGCCAAGCCAGCCAAGCCCAGGAATCTCATTTGCCCCTGTTGCTGGACAGAGGCCCTGAATTTAAGCGGTAGCATCTCCTTTTTCTCCTCTTTGCCCAGCAGACCTGTAGGACAATGAGTGTCACTCCAAAAACCTCAGACCACAGGTGTCAACTGGGGTCAAAGCCAGCCTTCTAACCTGGCTGGCCCCTGCCTCCTCTGTGGGTCTCCCACCCCCATCCCCCAGCTGCCACTGGAGGTACCAGCTTGCAACAGAGCTTCTGACAGTGACAATCGTCTCCCAGGGTTCTCCAGAGGCCAGGACATTGTGTGGGCAGCCCCAGTGACATTTGCATTGTCATTTGCATTTCATTTTCACGCTGCTAGTGTGTACTGTACCACCCCTTCTTACGAAAGTTCCCTGAGAGGCGGCCTGGCATAGAGAGAGAACAACACAGGACTTGCAGTCCCCAAGTCCTGGGTTCAAATGCCCTTCCTCTGAGCTTCGATTCCCTCGTCTGCAAATGGGAAGAAACCCTATATCCTTCATTGAGGCATTCAGCAAATATTTATCGAATTTCTAGCATAAGGGAGGTGTGGCTCTATGCCCTGGGGACGCAGTGTGACACTGTGTGCCCTGAGTCCTGCTCTCATGGAACTTACAGCTGGGGTGGGGGACCAATTAACAAGTCAACCAATCAATGAATAAGATACCCTCAGATTCCAGAACGTGCAACCAAATGCATGCAACGGGCAAGCCTGGTGCTCTGCAATGTTAGCTGACCATCGCTGCCCTTGGGTCAGGTGGCTGAGCCCACAGAGGCTGACTCCTGTCCACTCACCTGCCCTGCTGACTGCATCAGGATGGTAGGAATGGCCTCAGTCTCTCTCGCCGAGGCTGTGAGCCCAATCTTCTCTCCGGCCCTGGACCAGTCGTAGGGGTGGCCAGTCTAAGCAGCAGGGACACCAAGGGGACGAGCCCTAATAGTCCAGAGATGGGGGCATGTGGGGATGGGGATGTGTGTCTAGGGACGGCCCACCCAGGACCCCCCTGCACATTCCCCTGAGGGAAGCCGGCTGAGTCAGCTTGGGTGCAGCAGGCAGGAGAGCACAACAGTTAAGGCTCAGCTCGGGTATCACTGGACTCCTGGTTCAGACCTGGACTCTGCCCCTTCAGGCCGGGGCCTCGGCAATGGACGCACACAGCCTCTCAGAGCCTAGCTCCTCCCATGAGGACGCCTGAGTATCAGTGAACCTTAAGACCCTCAGCACACACAGTGCCTGGCATCCCGTGGGTACCTCATGACTAATGGGAGCGGCCCTGCCATCACTCTTCAGGTCACCTTTTGGGGCAGTCTCCCCTGTCTGGCTCACTCTCAGGGGCCTCCTTACATGCTGTGCCCCAGGTACCTCACATGCTCACCCTCGTCCTGGGATAAGTTTTTCTACAATGTCACAGTGACCCCCCCCCCCCCCCCCCCCCCCCCCTGCCGAGATCTATTATGGGCCAGATGCCCAGTGACAAGTGTTTAACAGATATCAGCCTCTCCCCAGTGATGCCCCAGCAATGGGGCACCC